CCCGCAAGACGAATGCCTCGCAAGACGGAAAACCCGCAAGACGAAAGGGTTTTCTGTTTTGGAGGCGCTTCGCAAGACGAATTTCCCTATGGGCTTGCATCGCAAGACGAAAGCCCATAGGGAAATGCTGGCGGTCGGGAGCAAAGACTTTCGCCCACAGCCGGCCTTCAGAAGAGGACCTCTTCTGAAGGCCGGCGGGGGGCAAAAGTCTTTGCTCCCCCCCCGCCTGCCTTCCCCCCGCCTGCCCCGGGCGATCTTAAAATGCTGGGGGCGGGAGCGAAGCGTTCGCTGCCGACCCCCAGCATTTTAAAATCTCCCCCTGTCCCGGGGAGATTTTAAAATGCTGGGGGTCGGGAGCGAACGCGCTGCCGACCCCCAGCATTTTAAATCTCCCCTGTCCCGGGAGGTTTTAAAATGCTGGGGGTTGGAGCGAAGCTTCGCTGCCGACCCCCAGCATTTTAAAACTCCCCGGGACCGGGGAGATTTTAAAATTAAAACGCTGCTGGGCCGGCGGGGGGCGGAACACGCCCCGCCACCCCGCTTCGGAACGCTGTCCGAAGCGGGGGGGGGGGCGGGACACCTGCCCCAGCCGCCCTTCGAGCGCTGCCGAAGCGGGGAGGGGGCGGGAACACCTGCCCCAGCCGCCCCGCTTCGAACGCTGTTCCGAAGCGGGGGGGGCGGGACACCTGCCCCAGCCCCCTTCGGAACGCTGCTTCCGAAGCGGGGGGGGGGGGGGGGACACCTGCCCCAGCCGCCCTTCGGAGCGCTGTTCGAAGCGGGGGGGGCGGGAAGACCTGCCCCAGCCACCCCGCTTCGGAACGCTGTTCGAAGCGGGGGGGGGCGGGACACCTGCCCCCGCCGCCCCGCTTCGGAACGCTGTTCCGAAGCGGGGGGGGGGGGGAACACCTTCTGAAGGCGGGCGGGGGGCGAAAGTCTTTGTCCCCCTGCCTGCCTTCCAGGGGCTTTTAAATCGCCCCGGACAGCGGAGAAGTCCTCCGCTGTCCCAGGGTTTTTAAAATGCTGGGGGTGGGAAGAAAAGCCCTTGTCCCCCCCCAGCCTTCAGAAGAGGTCGGGGACAGACTGTCCCGGACCTGGTCTGAAGTCGGTTTCCCTAGGAACGCATTAATTGATTTTCAATGCATTCCTATGGGAAACCGTGCATCGCAAGACGAAAAAACCGCAAGACGAAGAGACTTGCGGAACGAATTAATTTCGTCTTGCGAGGCACCACTGTAGTTGATTGTTTTATCAAAAAGTGTGACTTCAGCAATTCAGCTGAATATTCCCATGTCATAGATGAAGCTAAGAAACAGTTCTAAAAAGTCCCCTAAAACAGTTAATTGCTCTATTTTGATTTGAGCCTCATCCACTCTTCCTACTACACCACATGCACATCAACACCTGCTATATTCTCATGACCAGTCAACATCTTCTGGGAAAATCATTCATTTAAACAAACATTTTCTAAGCACAATAAAACATTCTACCCATCATGGATATCCACAACATTCTAACCAAATTCCCTGTCACTTCCGTCAATCTACCAATGTAGCAGAATACATGAATGCCACATCACCAACAAAGAAGAATCCTTAGAGGTTAAGAAACCACATTGAGAAAGCAGGAATTAACCATTTTCCAGCACATAATGGCTGACCTACTTCTTCCCTTCCTCAGTTCTGTGTGCATTAATTATTTGTGCTACATCCTCAGTTTCTCACCATACTGCAAACATAACATTTCCCTTCAAAAATCTAGCTAAACCAATGCAGTGATAGTTGAACACAAGATTAGCCAAGAAATTAAAATATAAAAGCAAATCGTAAACTGGTTGCCAAATGTCTCCTAGGCCAACCTCAAGTTACTTGCATTGATTTTTAAAGCCCTAAACAACTGACTTTCTTTAACAATATGGGGTTGCAACATTAGACAACATTGGAGTAGAGATGTGGTTTGAGAAAATGAAAAAGGCCCACTCATATCCTGAGCCCAAGGGCTTCCTGAAACATGGAGCCACCCCTTGCTGTATGGTAGGCAGAAATTCAACAGGTTAAGCTTCCTCTAGTGGGGGAAAAGCTTTACTATTACTGTGCTCTCTGATTTTATGTTTTTGTCATACCCCCTACACAGCAGCCATTTTGTGACTGGCACCAAGAGAACGCTTTCAAAAGTTGTGCACTGCGTGTGCACTGGTCCAAAAAGGTTGGCAACCCCTGTATAAATATAAAGTTATGTCTCTTGCACAAAAAGTTTCAAAAGTTCTAACAAAGATTAGAAATGTAATATATAATACAACTGTTTATCAAAGGCAATGCAAACAACAGGGTGATTGAAATGGATAAAAAGCTTCCTATCCCAATGAAGCAGGGGAGAAGCATGGTAAATCACTCAGGTATAAACACCTTCAGTATAAGAAATAACCACCTATGGCAAAGGATCCAGGTTACCAGCCAAAGAAATGATCACATCCCTACATTTTCTCTACCTCAGCCTTTGGCTTCTCCTCTAGCTTCCATCCTTCTGATTGTCTGCTCCTCCACTTCTCCATTTACTTTACTGCAAATTTTCCCTTCAAAAATCAACCCCAAACCCCAGCCACTTAGTCCACAGGATTAGGGACTAGTCACCAGCCCCTTGAGCTGGATCTAGCTTCTTGAAGGATCATGCCAGAAGGGATGCAGAGACACACACAAGGCAGTTGGGAAAAAACTTGAAAAAATGTTTAAAAAACAAGTAAAGTAATAAACAATTATCTGTCATATTTAATCAACTGATTGGGTAATTTAACTCATTTTTTTAAAACCTTAACTGATTAAATAGGTGCCCCCAATTCATTGGGCAGATTTTTTTATTAAAAAAACTTTTTCTTAATACATGTGGTTATAAAAACTGCAAATGGCAACTACTGTGGTGAAACTGGCATTCTCTTTTCTCTCACACAGGACGAATGCCTTTACAAAGCTGCTATTTGCTATAATGCCTGCAGCATTTAAAATCAAAGCAAGTATGCTTACTAGTTCAGAAATAAATTCACACACCTACAAATTTAAAATTAGATGAATCAATAAACTAAAACTCTAAAGACTGGGTTCCAGCCCTACAAATCTGTGCCCTGATGTTACTTGGAAATAAGCCAATGCATTATTCCAGCATGGTTCTAATGTGAGGTCAATTTAATAGAAAAATGGAGAAAAGGGGGGTGGAGAAAGCAAAAGAACCACCAAATTCAGAGCCCTGCCAGTCTTGCATGAGTCAGAGAAGCTGGACAGAAAACAGAAGAAACTCAGAAGAAAGTCCTAATGAGTGCAATGGGACTTAGGGCTGCAGCCTTAGTTCTGAACAAAGCAGTTAGGATCAGGTACAAGTAATTCTCTCATGTGTGTTGTTTCCATCTGTTTAATTTACACTAAGATTTAATTGTCATTCTTTCACCGTCTTCCAGATTTCCTAGCTATCACCAACCATCACATCCAGTTGGCGAAGGGGTTAGGATATCACTAAGACTGATGAGAATCACACTGAAATATCCAGTTAGTGATTAAGCTTGCTGGGTGACCTTGGGCTAGTCACTCTCTTAGCCTAACTTACCTCACGGGGTTGTTGAAAGGATAAAATGGAATGGGGGAACCTCGTATGTTGCCTTGAGCTCCTTGGAGAAAAATGGAATAGAAATGTAATTAATAAATAATAAAATAAATTTGTGGTAAGCACTGGCATAAGAGGGGGAGGACAGTGGTGCTTTGCCTTCACTTATTTACCAGCAAAAGATACACAGGAAGACTTAACAGACTGAAGTTAGACAAAGTTGTTTTTCTTCCAACAGCAAAATCTTTACCTGCTTAATTTCTACCAGTGAGAAAGCTGTTGAAGGCATATGAGCAGAGGCGATTTTCTAAAAGTGGCTTGAGTGTATAACAGCAGTTAGAAATTGAGCCCGCAATCCAATTCATACTGATTTGGGAGCAAATTCCATTGAATTCAGAGCAGCTAACTTCTGAATCAACCATGAAACTGCACAAATGGAAGAAAGGTCCCTGTTCAAACTTCCCCTCAGTCATTACAAAGAAAAGGCCGTAGGTCACAGATTCCCATTTACAATATGGAGAAAAAAGTATCGGTCTTCCTTATAAGGTAGTTGCGGCTCCCAGTACTTTTCTTCTAGGAAAAAAAGGGTGCTGGTACTGCGTACAATTTACCTCCAGAAAAAAAGCACAGGACTGGTCTCCATATGTTAAACTACAAGTCTCATCATCCCTGACCATTCGATATGCTGGCTGGGACTGATAAAATCTAAAGTTCAATAAAAATATTTTAGGCCCCCCAAGTCCCCCACTCCTATTGCATAGGGTAAGATACAGTCTACAGGAAGTGCTCTGAAAAATCTAAAGCAGTTGAAGTATTATTAAACATGCTCTTTTAACATTCCTGCAGTATCAGTACTTTCCAATTTTTATCCTTATCGTATTTATTGATCCAGTGCATTTCAGACCCTACTGATCCTTCAATAAATGCATTTTTAACGACGAAGCTGTTTTTTTTGCTTCCACTTCCCCCCTTCTGTCTTTAAATCCATTTTTAAAAGAACGCATGTCCCTACTCACAAAGTTCATTGTTTCTATCACAGCACGTCACGTTTGAGGCATTTTATAATTACTGCTGCTTCCATCTTATCTTGCCCTGTCCCCTCTAATGGCTCTAATTCAAGCAACTTATATTGAATATGTATATACCGCTATCCACATACAGGTAAAAAAACAGTCATCACTATTTCCTACCCCAAAAGGGCTTATCAGATAAAAATTGATATCAGAAGCAAAAGGGGGAAGGCAGTGGGAAAGGGAAGCAGGGACAAACAGAAGAATAAATGATCGTTTCACTTATTACTGTATACAGTACATACTTTCGGCTTAGTTACAATATAGCATATAGGGATGATCTTATATAAGATAAAGAAAGAACTAGAAAGCATGAAAACAAAAACAATAGGAGCACTTAAACAACCTTCCTCTCCATCTACACTATATTATTATTAAACTCACATATCCTCTCATCAAAGAGCTCAGGAGTTGAATCCCGCCCCCTTTTCCCGTCAAGTTGTTTATTTTCCCTTTGACCCTCCTCTCCAGAACCCGGCGAGGCAGGCAGTGCTGAGGCAGCAACCGGCTCCAATTCGCCCAGCGCGAGTCGGAGGCTGAGCGGAGAGAGGACTCGAACCCGGGCCGCCTCGCTCTTCCTATTACGCGCGCGCGCCCCCCGAGCCCCGAGGCTTCCGCGAAGATCTTGTCTCCCAATTCTGCAGCCCAGCCTTCCTGCGTCCTGATTGGCTGGCTCTGGAATGTTGACGAGCGAGGCCAGGCGTTGATTGGCTAACGGGAGCGCCGCTCTGCAGCCCGAGGGCTCGTCCGAAGGCCCTGGCCAAACCCGCCCTCGTCAACAGCCGTTATATTCCAGAAACATCCGGTCGCTTACCTGCATTTCGAATCGCTGGCCTAGTCGGGGGGGGGGCAGAAAAACAGCGGCTCCCGCGTTTTTTCCTTCCCCACCTCAGAGAGAGAGACGTCAGGCTGTAAACAACGGCGACCGCGGCGGGCTCTTTCCCCTCGAGCCCCCTCCCCTCAGGGTTGGCGGTTGAGATTCGAAGCTTTTTCAAAGCAGACGCAAGAGGCTCGCGAGGCGGCTTCACCCGGACGGTTATTGGCTGCTCCGAGCCGCGCGCCGGGGTGGGACGCGGGATGCGATTGGCTACCCAACAACGGGGGCGGGAGCGGAGGGGCGTGGAATGGGAGCTTCGCGGCCATTGGGCGGTGGCAAGGAGAAAGGCCCGTCGCGTAACGGGTCGTGCTCTGTGATTGGCTCTCCGCCGCCCCTGTTGGAGTGGAACCTTCATGGAGTGGCGGGTGGGGGCGCTCTCTCTTTCTCTCCCTCGGGGTCAGTGAAGTAAATACACGGCGGCGCATGCGCAGACAGGCTGGGGCCTTCTTCTTCTGAGGCGAGCTGACCCGTCCCGCAGTAGGTAAGAGACGTCAGCAGAGCGGTTTTCTGCTTTTCCTCCGGCCTAGGTGGAAGTGCAACGCGCGGGGTTCCCGGTCCCCACCTCGGCCCTCGATTGAGAGGCCTTTCGCTCAGTTGCAGAAGAAACCCAGGAGTCCTGCGCCCCCCCAAACCTCCCCCCCCCACAAAACCGGAATCCAGCAGCCCTTCACCAAGGAGGACCCAGGAGCCCCAACCTTAGTCGTGTATTCTTTGCATTTATAGCCCACCTTATTATATATTCATGGAGCTCAACGTGACGAGCACATGATTCTTCCCGCCTTCCTTTAATCACCACCACAAGCCTGTGAGGCCGGTTGGGTTGAGAGTCAGCGACTGGCCCAAGATCATTCCGGGAGCTTCATGCTTGAGGGGGGATTCGAACTTGGGTCTGTGAGGTCCTCGTCTGACACACCCACCCAGACTCTCTCGATCTTGGGTCCCCAGATGTTGTGGGGCTACAATTCCCATCATCCCTAATGAGAAGGGCCAGCCGTCTGGAATGATGGGAGTTGTAGTCCAACTACGTCTGGGGACCAGAGATTGAGAAAGTCTTCTCACTCCTCCAAAAAATGACCCCTCTTTTTCTGTGCCCAGCACCATCCACAGCCAGGAGAGACCCAGGAGCCTATCCTCCACTTCATCATTTGTAATGCCAGGACTCAGCATTCTTTCTCCCCCTTCCCCCCTCATCTCCAAAAGTATTGCAAAGGCCGGACCAGAATTTCCCCCCGATCAAAGCAATGTAGCAGTTATGAACTTCTGCCAGTCGTCCTTCGCTGCCGTCACTCTGCTCTCTATGCAAAGGCTGCCCTTACGAGAACAATGACGTCAGGCTGGAAACCCAGCTGCTTCGTTTATTGGGACCAACTAAAAGGGTGCTAGCTTTGGAGCTCAACTGAACTCTTCTTCCAAGAAACACAAATCTCATGAGTCCTGCTTAACTCAAAAGCTTGCTTAATTTTTAAACTATCAGCCTTATAACCAGCAGCTTCATTTAGGGAAGGGGTGCTCAGCCCACCCCTTCCTATTTTTCAGACCACATTCTGCAGCACCTATATAGCTCTTCCTATTCCCAGGGAAATCGTAGTTCTATGGCAGTAAGAAAGGACCTTCCATCAATAACTCTGGGCATCTTCCCAAATGGAAGATCAAAAATCTATTTAGACAACGCAGTTCTTTCCTTTGAAGCAAGGAAACAGATCAGTTATCTGAGATGACCAGACTATCCATTTTGTGTTGATTTCCACCCCACCCCAAAAAAACCTAGCTGAAAAAATAAATATACGGTACCTGACTCTAAAGTCAACAGTTGTCAGTGCAGCAAGCACTATGACCCACCACCCTTTCAAGCCAAGAGCTATGGGTAATCACTGGTCCAAAATCTGCTTTAAATCCTGTCTTCCCTTGTTTTGCCACTTAACAAACCAGTAAGTGATTTGCCCAAGTCCACATGCAGGAAGTCAGTGGCAGAGAAAGGAAACTAATCTGAGTCTTCTGAAGTAGTGCTCTAATGCGCTGTTTTCAGAGGGTTAGCTAAATTAATTTGCCAGAGCAAAGAATGAATAAAGAATATTATGGCGCTTTAGGATATTTACAAAAGTTTCTACCACAAAAATTCAGCTAGTGTTTCAGGTTCCACCAAGCTCTTCATTGTTTTCACGAACATCCTGATGCACCCCTTTCCTTTGTTTTTTTATTAAAATGTTTATTCAAAAATTACAATACAGCTTTGTCCACTGCCATAATATCACATAATATCACAAAATGATCACTTCAATCCTTAATCCTTTGTTTTTAAATTCCTGATGTTTGGCTATGAGACCCAAACAGGGGAAAGAGACAGGCACTGACAAAGGTTAACACAAGGGCTTTTCATTAGCCAGAACTTCCCAGAACTCAGTTCTGGCACTTCTCAGGTGGGCCCTTTGCCATTACAAGAGAACAAGAGAGGCGTTCATGGTGAGTTCTGACACCTCTTTTTCTAGAAAAATAGCACTGGTTAAAGCCCCCTCTCCTTTGCATCCCTTCTCAAAGCTCCCCCTTTTTATTAAGCTTTTGACTTAACCCAGTGGTACTTAAACCATGTGGTACATCTAGAGAGGAGAACATACTTCCAGGGAGAATTCATTCTGGAAGCAGGTATCTTTCTTCTCTGCCACCCAAAAACTTGGCTAGACCCTGGAAGGAAACCCTCACTGACCCACCAGGAGGGTTTCTTACTGCACCATCATCCCAATGTTTAGTTTGGTTTTTAAGCATTTATGGTATTTGCAAGTTGCCCTGTGACCATGGTCATAAAGGGGAAAGAGAGCTCAGGAAGAACAGCTGTTTTGTTTTGCTTTGCATTCTCCCCGTTTCCCTCTACATCACTCTTCAGAGCAGAATCAGACACCCTGCTCTCCTAATCCTGATGTAGGATTTACTATCAAAATCCGCAGATCTTTGCGTGCAACAACAGACAGTATGCACAGACAGTATACTGTTCATCTAGGGAACCAATAGTTGCTGCCTAGAAGGTAGTGCAAGTGAAAATTCAGAAGTGGGGAGGAGGGAGATGAATTTCAACAAAGAAGAAAAAAGAAGAACCCAAGTCTTTAACCCCACAATACCCATCCCCAGCTAAACCCTGATATTCAACGCTTTCTTAGCCTTGTCTCTCATGCTGCTAAAATTCAGACTGTAGGTTCCTTGGGGCAGTATCCTGCATTCTTTCATTCTATTTGTATCTGGATGGCATAAACAACAACCACAATACATTTTAGATCATATTCACCTTTGGCAGACAATAAAGAAATCTGGTTTACTCACCTTAACCCCAGCAGGCTTTCTTGCTTTAACTCTGATTAACTTCCCTGGAAGATCCAAGGCTAAATCTCCAACCAAGTTGCCATCCAACTGACTACTGAAAGCCCTTTGCCGGTTTCTAAAGCAATGCTTTTTTAAAAAACCCATATCCAAGTAACGCAAGACAGCATTCTGAACTGCATCCCTGTCGCTCATGCAGTCCTAGGAAGGGTCATTTCCTGCTGGCTGACTGAACAGCACTAGCCAAAATACTGCCGGGCAGAAGGAGAGACAACCAAAAAATCATTAACGCACGCCCAGGCTTGCAGCCCTCAGCCCATCTGCAACCCGACAGACTTCCAGTAATAAACCTCCTTCAATCTGCTGAGGAAGAGTGATGACCCTCCCCAAACCCCGTAGTGAAGAAACAGTCCTGTCTTCCTGTCATTAGTTATTAAGGTAGATATTCTTTCCACAATTCTAATCCACAGAAAGATAAGCAGGGAAACACCAGTGGGAGACATTATTAACTCACCTCTGGGCTGGCTCATGTTCTAAAAGTGAGTAAGGAGTTTTAGAAAATGCACTTATCCCCTTTGCAGGACTGTTGCAAGAATGCATTTAATATATTACCCACCAAAAAACCAGCTAAAAGGAAACAGTTTGTCTAAGAACCTCATATTTTCCTTGATTTTTTGACACTTTCAACAGCAGAAGTGAAACAGAATCCCTCCAAAAAAAGAGAGCAATGGATCATTGCAGTGCATGCAGCGTGCATGTTTTTCTCTGTGCCTGTGTTGTGTATGAGAAAAACACACAGAGCAAACTCTGAAAAGGAAGGAAACTAATTACAATGCATGCATTTGTCCTACTGGGGAAGTGATACAATGAGAACCACAGAACCAGAAGCCTCAGAGCTGACCTTTAAAAACCCATATGGCCAGACATGCTATTCATTGTTAAATAAGTACTGGGGGTGGGGGAAGATTTCATTTAATCAAACCTGCTTCATTCCACAAAACTTGATAATGACAAATACATTTTAAACCATGGGTTCCAGGAATTGGTCGTTCGCTGCGCCCCAAACCTCCTTCGAAACATCACAGAAGTTTAACCTTTGCTGACATATATTTCTGTTTAGCCCTCCCTCACACAAGCTGACCCCAAACTGATGTTTAATGTATTTAAATATAAAAACAAATCTTGCTCAGCCCCGTGCTGCGCTGCTTCTTATTCCACAGATTCTCCTACCATAAAAATATTGGTTTTTCTGCACTGCTTCTCCTCCCTCTCCTTTTTATTGTTAGTTTCACTAAAAAAACATTGGGGTTGGTTAGACCCCACTTAACAGGAGAGGGGACAGCTGATAGCACTGAACACTCAATGTGCCGTAGGTCTAAGGGGGGGACTGGACATGTGGTGAAAAAAATCACAGAAAAGCTGTTCAGACAGTAAATGTAGCTAGGAAGGTCCATCATTCTCTCCTCCATTTTTAAAGAATCGTGATTCTGAGAGAATTCTCAGTTGAAGGTGGGGGGACATGAGCAAAGGGCCCCATAGGAATTGTCGCGGCAGCCATTAAGAGAAGCCTGAC